AAATATTTTCCAACTCTCTATCTGTATCACATATGCTCCTATATCCCATTGGCTATTGGAGTCACATGGCCAAGCTGGGAGCATGCCCACAGTTAGATGGTGAGGAGGTGTGCTTAGCCAGAGGGAGAGAACTTGTGACGATTTTTGCAATCCACCATGGTTATTAAAGCAAAATAGAACAGGACCAGATGTTCATCTAACAGTTCATTGCATTGATATCTTCCTTCCTCATTGAATCCTCACAACTATCCCGGGAGGTAAGTGGAGTAATCTTTATTTTAGGGCTTGAAGATGTTATCAGTCGAAGTTCTGCCAGTTCTCCAGAACTTCTTTAAGACATATAGTAAGAGATTTATTGCAAGAGATGTGTGGTATGCCCTGGGGCTGTTTTTCTGGAAGGGCAGACTGGGACTCTTAATTCGAAGAGGGTCTACAGGTAGAGAGTTTCTTCTGCTTTCAGGAAAATATTCATTCTGTTCTTAAGGACTTTCAGCTGGTTGAATCGTTCTTTAAAATCAATCAATTGGGCTAGATAGAATATTTGCTTGCCTAGCATGTGTGAGGCCATGGGTTTGATCCCCAGCACCACAATGATTGATTATGAACTTTTATCTGCAAAATGCCTTCACAGAAACATCTAGATTGGTGTTTAATGGAATAACTGGGGACTGTAGCTTCGCCAAATTGACACATCAAAAGATCATCACAGGGGGGCTGGGATTGTGGTTCAGTGGTAGAGTGCTTGCCCCTAACATGTGAGGCACTGGTTTGATCCTCAGATCACATAAAAAGTGAATAAATCAAATAAAGGTATTGTGTCCATCTGCAAAAAAATAAAATTAAAATAAAAAATAAAAGATCCACCACAAGCCGGGCACAGTGGTGCATGCCTGAAATCCCAGCGTCCTGGGAGGCTGAGGCAGGAGGATTGCAAGTTCAAAGCCAGCCGCAGCAACTCAATGAGATCTTGTCTCTAAATAAAATACAAAATAGGGCTGGGGAGTGGCCCAGAGTTCAATTCCAAGTACCAAAAAAAAAAAAAAAAAAAAAAAAATCATCACAAGAGAGCTTGCAGGTGTAGCTCAGAGGTAGAGCACATGTTTAGCATGTATGAGGCCCCCAGGTTCAATCCACAACACCAAAAAAGAAAGAGAAGACCATCACAAGGACGCAGGAGAGATGAAGTAATTTACCCCCAAAACACCCAGCCATTAATGTGGCAGAGCTGGAACCAGAAAATACGACTCTGATTTTGGAGACCTGTGTATTATTTACCGCTCTGATCCATTTTGGATTTGATTTGCATCTCTGGAATTATTAATGATGTTGGGATATTGCATACATATATTAGGCATATAAGTATTATTTTCCTTTGCAAATGTTTCATCCTCACTGAAATTGGGCTAGCATTGTGACAAGTGGAGATGTGAGGAGCCCCTGGGAAGAGGCAGAGCCCTTTAAAAAAATTGGTACTGGGGATTGAACCCAGGGGTGCTCTATCACTGAGCTACACCCCCAGTACTTTTTATTTTATTAAAAAAATGTTTTTAAATATGTATTTTTTTTTAGTTGCAGGTGGACACAATACCTTTATTTTACTTTTATGTGGTGCTAACAATTGAACCCAGTGCCCCACATGTGCTGGGTGAACGCATTACCACTGAGCCCCAGCCCCAGACCCCTTTAGCTGGGGTGATGTTTCACTCAGTTGCCAAGGATGGCCTCAAACTTGGAATCCTCCTTCCTCAGCCTCCCAAGTAACTGAGATTAACAGGCATGCATTCCTATGCCTGGTGCCAAATCCGTTTTTAAACACAGAATTAGAAACTGATGGGTATGTGCCCGAGTGTATTAAGTACTGCGTGAAGCCCAGACTCCCCGCATGGCACCCACTGCCCTCTGTGATCATCACACCAGCCCCTTCTCCCTTTGCCCATATAACCCTGGCACAGGCCACATGAACTCCTTCATCTCCAGACCTTTGCACATGCTGTTCTGAAGGCACAGTTCTCTGCCATCTTCCCTTAAGTAACTTCCTTGGGCTTGCCTCTGCCATATTGAGGTCTCTTTCATTTCCTACACCCCTATTTTCCTGTTCTTCCATGTCTAGCTTAAGCTGAGATTTCTCTTGTGTTCTCATTCACTGGAGGCATCTGGCTTGAAGGCTAGTTTGAGGAAGCTTTTGAGCTCACAGTGAGTAGAGAGAGCTGTGAATGTTCACTGAGTTTGCATGGGAAGGAGCCGGTGGGTATGTGCCACCAAGCCTTTGCCATCCCTGATACAATTCTCCCCACTCCTGGCTTCTCCTTGTGAACACCTCTGACTGCTTCTGCTCATGCTGATCTCACCTTCTCCAAACGCCTTTGTGTGGAACTACAGCCATCCAACTTAGCCCAGGATTGTCCCACGATTGCATTAGGCACTCTTTCTGTCTCCTTGCCTAGACTGGGAGCTCTGAGAAAACAGAAACCTTTTAACATAACTCTCTTTGTGCTCATCTAGCAGGGCATGGAAATAGTTATGCTAGACGGATGCATGGATGCTTGCAACCCTTTGCTTTGGTACCCCAGCACCACGTAGAAGGCCACTTGCTCTTGAATCCAAACTGTTCCCTTTAGCCTCTGAGTCCCTGGGTGCCTGGGCTACCTGCTTGGGCTTGCCTCTGCCACTCACCCATTCGAGCACTCCACGATAGCCTTCCTGTGCCTTAAATGACCACATGGCTCCTTCCTTCTCACCATTCAAGTTTCATTCAGATGTCAGTCTCTTAAAGGCTGTTTCCTGGCCACCAACCTGCCCGTTTGTCACTCTAGAACCCTACCTCCTTCATGTTCTTTATAGCATATTACTGTTACCGCTGTTGACCGGTGACGAGTCCTTGCTTCCCCAATGTTGAAGAATAACACCAGAGAAGCACGCCGAGGCAAGGTCAGAGTAGAAATTAGAAGTTTATTAAAGGACAGCAGAAAAGACTTCTCCCGGAGGAAGAAGGGGACCCAAGAGGTGGAATCCGTGGAAGTGCGGTTGTTTCCCCTTTTTATAGTTTTGGTGATGGAATGTAGGTGGGAAGGCCTGAGGGGTGGGACACAGGTGGGCCAAAGAAGTAATCTGGGCAGGAAGGACTTCATTAACATTCCTCTGGGATGGGCTATCTTCAAATCTGCTGGGACTTTTGGTTAACATTTCTTTGGGATGGTCTTTGGGCCTAGGGCTTTTCTCAGGACTTCATTAACATTCCATGAGTTGTCCTGTGTTTCCTGTGTTTCCCGGAATTCATTCTCAACATGGCCTCCATTTTAGATCTTACTCAATATTAGACCTGATTTACCTAACTGCACTGACTACCTAATTTTAAATCTGGCTTCATTACCATGTTCTGAAATTACTTATTGATGTATTTTCTTTTTTCCCCTTATTCTCTGCCTCCGTGACCTCCCTGACCCCCAAATATAAACTCTCTGAAGGCCAAGTTTAGTCTGCTTTGTTCCCATTGCATCTCTGGGCCAGGTACTGTTGCCAAGTGGACAGACAGAGAGACGGATGGGTGATTGAATGACAAGTGAATGAACACTTGGGGAACTCCTTTTGCGACTGATCTAGTAGGAGGACCCTTTTCACAAAGAGTTAATTTCCCGGGCCCTTGAGGTTATTGGTTTTTCAAATTCAGAAGAGTTGTTATAGATGGACTCAGAATGTTTGCTGGACAGAAGAAAGAGAGCGAGGAATTGAGATTGAAAGATAAAGAAATGACGGCTGGGTCTAGGTGGGGACTGGGCCACCTGAAAGGTAAAGATGCCATCTTCCTGCTCTCCAGCTTCCACAGCCCTTAGAAAGAAGGGAGGCCATGAAAGGGTCCCTTTGGCCACGTTTCCTGAAACAATGAGCCACATTTCACAGCTGCCTCACCAGAAAGGAACAAACAGCCCTCTATCTATGGCTCTGAGCTGTTGACTTGAGAATCCCCTGAAGAATGTTAAGGGGGTTTAATGTTTCTCAGCAGAAACTACCTCTGCAGAAAGGAAATGGGGGGGGGGGCATGAGGGGTGTTTTATCTTAACAAACAAGGCCTTTTCCTCAGTAGATTATTCTTTCTCCCTCCCTCTCTCTCTCTCTCTCTGATTTTTATTCTCAAAGCCTGTTTTTCAATTTATGCTCAAAAGACTTGACCTCCTCTGGTTGGGGGGCTGCTCCAACCACAAATTTATTTCTAATAGATTATTGTAGTGATCAATTTGGAAAATGCTTAAAAAAAAAGGAAGAAGGAAGAAAATGAAAACCGCCTGTATTTGCAGCACTTGGAGACAACTCTCCAAGCTTTGCTTCTTTAATATGTGTTTATGAAAACTGGGAGCGCAACATGTACACTGCTGCGGCACTTGACCGTGAACATTCTTAAGAAAGCATCTCTTTTGTTTTCTTGTTATAAAGGAATACAACTCTTTTACAGAAAATTCAAAAGCAAAATAAAAGGAAAAAACAGCACAGAAATAAAAAAGGTGCCTATATTTTTGCCATGTGGAGATAATTACTATGAAGTATGTATATACGTGTTCCCTAAAATATATTCTTAAAAATATAATCATATTTAAAGTCATTTAAAAAGATTAAAAAAAAACCCACAGGATCACATTGAACATTCATCAAGGCCAAGGAAGCAGGCTCTTATAACCATGTAAAATCAAGTAAATTTCACTTATTGTGTGCGTATTATATGATGGGTGGGTGGCAGATGCCAGTGGTCCTGTGAACCTATTTAAATCACTTCCTTTACTCAGGAGGCTGCAGAGTGAAAAGTGCTCTAATTCCTTGCAGCTGGGGGTGGCCATGTGGTTTGTTCTGGCAAATTAAATGAAAGCAGGTGTTTGAGGACGTCTTCTCAAATAAAAAGACAATAACTTACGAAGGAAGACTTTACCAATGAGAGAGTGGGGGGGGGAGGGAGAGGGGGGGTGGGGACTTTTGCCCTTTACCCACTTCTTTTTTTCTTTTGCTTCTTGCAGTGTGGACACGATGCTCAGGTGTCACAACCATTTCGGAATCACAGGGACAGAATCCGCAGCAGAGGATCAAGCGTGGTTTCCGTGGCACTTCTCTAGTTATGAGCGATCCACCTCTGTGGTTCTTGATGAGTGTCAAAACTATGCCCCCTCCTTGCTGAAGCCACCAGTTACTGACCTTCTGTTCGCTGATGGTAGATTCGTGGCATTTTATCCAATCCAGCATTATTTGGGTCTGCCCTTTATTTCTCCATGCTCCAGGCCAAATTATGGACTCTCAGTGGAGAACTTCTGGGGCCATGTTCTCAAGGACAGGCCTGACCCAGCAAGGGGCCTGTTTCAGAGGCTCCTCTCAGTGGGGGTTATAGCGTCCGGCTGTTTTCACTGACCTGCTTTTATCTAGGCTGAGAAGCTTCTCTGTCCTGAGGCTCCCTTTTGTGACTGCTATGGTTTGGGATGTCATTTGTCCCCCAGGGGTTATGTGCTGGAGGCCTGGTCCTCAGTGTGGTGGTGTTCAGGTGTTGGGACCTGAAAGCGGAGGGGCCAAGTGCAAGGTGATTAGGTCACCGGCTGCCCCTTGAAGGGATTAATGCTCTTCTTGGGGAGTTGGTTCTTGAGCGACTGTTGTTATGAAATGAGGCCACCCCACCCACCTGGTCTTTACTGCAAGTGGCTGGCTTCCTTCCTACTTCTCTATCATGTTATGATGCAGACAGGGGCCCCCACAAGAGGCCAAACAGATGGCACCATTTGGTCTTGGATTTTGGCCTCCAAAACGGAGCTAAATAAACCTTTTTTAAAATACAATGCTCAGCCTCAAGGATTTTGTTATAGCAACAGAAAACAGAGCAATAAAGTAAGCCAATTACCACCCTCAAGTCAAAGACTGAACTGAATACTCCTTTGTATCAATCCACAGCACAATGCATTGTGAATTTAACTGCTCAATAAGTGTTAGTGGTTTGATTGTTTGCCTTTAACTCCAAGTTATTAGTTATAGAATGTATAAAGATTTCTGATAGTATGGATTTTAGACATTTTTATAGAATGCACAAACACAAAATGATGTTTATTTTTTAAAGTACTAGGTCAGAACTGTCAAAATGACACTGGCATGTTCTTTGATTGAAAGAATATTTTCAGCTGTCATCCTTCACTTAATTATTGTTATTAGCAACAAATCTCAGTCTGAGGGTGAGATGGCAGGTGGGTACCAGGGATTGAACCCAGGGGCACTCAATCACTGAGCCACATCCCCATCCCTTTTTAATTTTCATTTTGACAAGGTCTTGCCGAATTGCTTAGGGCCTTGCTAAGTTGCTGAGGCTGGCTTTGAACTTGTAATCTTCCTGCCTCAGCCTGCTAGGATTACAGGCATGCACTACTGTGCCCCAAGATGGCTTTTTTTTTTTTTTTAGTTATATATGAAAACAATCCCTTTACTTTTATTTATTCATTTATTCAGGTACTGGGGATTGAATTCAGGGCACTGAACTACTGAGCCACATCCCAGCCCTATTTTGTTTTTTATTTAGAGACAAGGTCTCACTGAGTTGCCTAGCATCTTGCTTTTTGCTGCTGGCTTTGAGCTGGCAGTCCTCCTGCCTCAGCCTCCCACGCCACTGGGATTACAGGCTTGTGTCACTGTGCTTGGCTACTCTATTTATATTTATGTGGTGTTGAGGATCGAACCCAGTGCCTCACATGTGCTAGGCAAGCGCTCTACCACTGAACTACAGCCCCAGCCCACAAGATGACATTTTGGAAAGAAAGGTGGTGTTTGGAAAGATCTGGACAAGATTAGTGAAAAGGCAATGGTCCTGCTCATGTTGTCTCATCATGATCACAAGTGGAATATGGTCAGTTAATTGAAGTGTACATTCCTGATTCTTGTAATCAAGGGGTTGGTGTTCTTCCCTATCTGGATGGGCTGTGGGTCAGCAGGCAACCTCATGGCCAGGTAGACAAAGAGGAAAGAGGGCAGTGTAGTTGCCCAATAAGACTTCAGGACAAACTGATTGGACTTTTTGTGGTTCCAAAAGCCACTAAGTACTTGGCATGTAGTTCTCCTTGTGTGAAATTGGGTAATGGCTGGGGGTGGGAACAGGGAACCTTGACCTCTGCTTCTCAATTGGAAGTCACAAGACATTGCTCAAGGTGTATCTTGAGCTTGTCCTACTTCCTGAGAAGATCCATCTTCAATGCCAGGGACCAGCGTGAGGAGGGAGAAGCTGTTTACGAAGCCAGTCTTGTTGGCTTCTTCCTTCTGGAGGCCCAAGGGACAGAAGTCAAGGCCTCCTGGTGACAACAGTAGCATGATGGGCTTTGGACCTCAGGGTCCAAATCAGATAAGTCACTCAAGCAAGAGAAGGATGAAGATAGCTAATGGGTGGGCTCCAGGATGAGGAGGTCCTGGCAGGGAGGTACAGCCAGATAGAGGGCTCCAGGCTTAATGGGAAAGAGAAGAGAAAAATCACTGAGCTGGTTAGCCACAGAGACATGTGTACGTAAAGAGGTAGTAACAGGCTACCAGTTGCCTGTAACTAATATGGAAACGTCCATGAGAGGGAGAGTGGGGTGCCTGAGGTTGCAGGATCCAGAGTGCCAGGGGGCTGCTTTACCACATGCCTGGTGATCCTTCCCCAGGACTTTTCTAAGCCACCTTTTATATTTCCTATGGAAAATGGCTCCCACTCCCCTTCAGCCTCGGTGTCCTGACCTCAACCTCGGTTGTCTGCGTTCTACAGACAACCCCCCCCCCCCCTGTCCTCCCAGGTCCTCCTGGCTATAGAAGAACAGCTATCACATGCTGGGAACATAGTAGGTGGTCAGATAGCATCAGCCTCCTCCCTTTTTCAGCATCTCCTTGTTCCTAGGGGAGAAGAAACTACCACGAGGAAGCAATTGGTAACCAGAACTTTTGGGGCTTTGCTTTGTCTCTGCTATAAACCCTGGGCCTGGCGTGGGATCTGGCACATAATAGGGGCTCAACACAGCTTCCTGAAAAACTGAATGAGTACCGTGGGAACAATGGAGTGATCCTCAGGGCAGTCAGGGGCCGTGTCCCAGAGACATGGCCTCTTGTGATTCCTTTGCTTATTCATGAAATGGATTTAATAAATACTTACTGTGCCAGGCATTCTTCTAGATGACAGGGACACTGCAGGGAGCAAAGCAAAACCTGCTCTACTCCTCCTCAGGCTCCCCAGCCCGTTGCTCCTTAGAACATTCTTTTCCCTTTGCTTCCCCACATAAATATCCCGGGAGTGAGATCAGGCTGAAAGCCAGCACAGCTGGGAGGAGGAATTATGGGTTGAAAACACATGTGGTGACCTGGGTCCAGGTGGCTCCAAACCTGGAAACATTTGAGCTTCAGTCTCTGACTTTCCAGGACTTGACTCAGTGCTCTACCCTTGGGATTTGGCCTCCAGGAGACAGTGGCCCGTGCAGAGTCATTAGGTGGGTTTATCTACTGCTGCCCTATCCTCAGGGTTTTTAAAGTTGGGGACAAGTTGGTGGCCATGCATGTAGTGGGGGAACCTGGACAGTGCTGCTTTGTGAGAAGTAGTACTCATTCCAGACTGGAAGTGACATCTGTTCTGGAGCAGGGTCCACCCTGTTCTTGAGGGATCTCTGCAAATTTTCCTTGTTAGGCAGTGAGGTTGGTACCCACTGTGCTGTCCTGTAGAGCCGGACACTGCTGTCCTCCCACTCCAGCACCAGGGAACTCGGCCCATTTTCTGCCTGGTGGAAAAACAGAGTGAACAATTATCTGTTAATACTAAAAAACAACGAGTCCCTACCTTCCAGGAGACGAGAAAAGTGTTCTTTGGGTCCACTCATTCCTATTGCAATAAATCATCATGATCATTATGTAAAATATGGCTTAATTTATTTTTGTTACTTTCAAATTTGATTATAAATGGATGAATTTTAGCTCTTGATCATCATGACTGGCACTGAAGGAGAGCTTTATACATTTAAAATACTTGACTGAGTAACAATAGCCTCAGTTTTCTCAATGGGGAGTTATGGGAACTGGGCAAGATTGGGGAAACTGGTAGACATCACTGCACAAACCTGCTGAATTTGATCTGTAGCCCTGTGTCAGGAAAGACTCAGAGGCGACCTCTGAGCTCTACAGGATGGTTTCCTCATCAACTGGTCAAGACTGCCACGAATATAAGAGGAAGGATCTGGGTATCTGGGACCTCAGGACGCCCATTTTCTTTTCTAGCCATAAGATTTCATGACTCTAGGGCAAGGGACAGTAAAGTACAGCCCTCCAACCAAGTCTGGCTTACCATCAATTTTTATTTAAATAAAAGTTTGTTGAAATAAAGTCATATTCCTTTATGAATTATTTTTGTTAGCTTTTCTTGCATTTAATGGCAGAGTTGAGTAACTAAGATAGATAACGTATACCTGCAAATCCTAAAATACTTACTATTTGGCTCTTTGCAGAAGTTTACCAATCTAGTTTTACAGCAATTTAGGGCAGGCAGTTTAAATATATTTATTTATTTATTTATTTATTTATTTATTTTCATCCAATGTCTCCATAAAGGAAGGAAGAGATTTTTAGTCCTGTTTTAAGAATAAAGAAAGTGAAGGCTCCATAAAAAGGGCTTTACTCCAAGTTATAAGGCCTGATCTAACTCTGTATGCAGGGCTCCCAAAGTCCCCAGGTCATTCCAACATGGTGCATGCCTTCAGCTAGAACATTCAAGTCTGATGCAGAAGAATTCATTTTGTTTTAGGACAAGAACTTCACACCAAGTCTTTATATGTAAACCTAGAGGTCAATAGAATTGGTTTTATGTGAGGAAAGGGAGCTTGGAGGTCCCTGGTTATCAGTGACATTCAGTCACATCAGATGTTCAACAATCTGAGTCCTCCAAGAAGCAGATGCTAAAGAGATCAACTGGGAGAGACGCTCGTGAAGAATGTGGGTGAGGAGCAGAGTGGGCAGGCCTTGAGCCTCGGTGTAGGTCTGAGCCCTGTGAAAGGAGAGGATAAAGGAAGGATTGGGTAGGAGGAGCCTCAGCCCACAGGGAAGGTGGGAGGATGTGTCTGCCAGGCTGATGGGGGGAGCCCCAGGTGGCAGGAAGGGCTGGCTCTGTTGCCCCATCAGGCTCAGCCACTGATGGGGAGCAACATGGGGGAGCGTGGCCTTGGCAGCAATACCATGGTGGATCCAAAGGCTCAGCCCTGAGAGGCCATCAGCCATCTATGCTTCCACAGCGGGTGCTCTTGGGGGATCTGGCAGTGCCCCTCTGACTGTCATGGTATGCATTATTGCCCCACATGCCCTGGGCCAAACTCTGAGCTAGTACTGGGAGCTACAGAGATTTAACAAACACTGTTCCCATCCCCAGGGAGTTCATGATGGAGTGGCAAGAACAAACATACATACCTGAACAAGCAAATGTGTGTTAATTAATGGCAAAAGCAATAATAAAAGGTAGGGGGTGGGGTTGAGATTATTGGAAACAACGTGTGCCAGTGGTTCAAAGAGGGTACCCGGGAGGAAAGCTTGGGATGTTCCTATTTGACACTTGGATGGGCATGTGTGCGGGGTGTTCTGCAACATTTCAGCCTTTCCCATGCCCACTTGGCAATCACTGAGTATCTATCAAGTACAAGGCCCCAAGCATGCCAAGTGCTGTGATTTATATTAGTGAATCCTGGATCATAAACAGCCTTATGATGTCGGGGGGCTTATAGATACTGATGAGTCATTTTACAAAAACAAATATATAGAAGTTTGTGTGCATTTTTGTGGGACTCTTACGCCTGCTACTATTCAGGTGCGGCACAAACAACGGGTAAACCATTTGTTTAGAAACCATACATTTGTTAAACT